GTGTGTGTTTGTGTTTGTGTGTCTGTCGGTATGTGTCTAGTGTGTGTGTGAGTATGTTCATGTGAACGATATAGAGACATGAGAGCGTCTCTTTCTATCTGCATCTGTGTTTGTATCATGTATGTGTGTGTGTGTGTAACTGCGTGTTTTTGTGTGTGTGTATGCGCGCGCGTGGGCATGTGTGTATATGCGTGTACGAGTATGTGTGTGTATGTGTGTGTATGTGTGAGTGTGTATGAGTGAGTGTGTCTGTGTGAGTGCGTCTGTGTGTAAGTGTCTGTGTGTGTATGTGTGTGTATGCGTGCGCCAGTAGGTGTGTGTATGTGTGTGTGCGCATATGTGTGTATGTGTGTATGTGTGTGTACATGCGTGCGTGAGTATGTGTGTATGTTTGTATGTGTATGTGTGTGTATGTGAGTGTGTGTGTGTGTATATGTGTGTGTGTGTGTGTGTGTGTGTGTGTGTGTGTGCGCGTGTGCGTGTGTGTGCATAACATGCCTGAGTGAATATTATCTACCTGCGTCTATGCGCATCTCCACGAGGGATATTATTACAAAACCGATCTCAAGTGCTTGATTTCTATTATCAAAACAGAATCAATCATTTTGCAAAAACACTAACTGTCATATATTGTTATCAGAAAGAATAAAGACCACAATAACATATTTTAGTACTGTATTTGTACCAACGTACGACTTGTATTACCCCCTGCCTGACAAAAGAATCAATGGCCAGTCAATAAAGTGACACGAGTTTAAAGAACCATCAGGGCAATCCTGTGTTTGATTGAAGATTTTTAAGAATCTCTGCCAACATTAAAAACAAACAAAGAAGTCAAATAAACTGTTGACCTCTATGAGGAAAATATAGATTGCAATGGCAAACAAACATACTTAAATAAATTGTTTAAACACACAAAAATAGCGTACATACAAAGGATACCAAATAGACAATACTACTCAATGTCAGACACTTATAAACATGCTGTTACTAGATCTAGTGCTTTTCAGAAACGAACATAAAATTAGACGTAAACCTATTCATGTACTGTTTAGCTTTGGCAGGAGCGCAAAATGAAGACGACATGACGCCCCCTTCTCCCTCCCATTTCCTCTCTTCCCCCTCCCTCCCCCCTCTCTCCCCAATGTCCCTTCCTCCCCGTCTCTTCCT